CTTTCTTCCTATGGGATATTAAGAGTAATTTTGACCATGAGCTTTCTTTTAGGTTGATTTTAATAGCAAATTGCTGTTAATTTCCAGGTTCTGGAATGTGGTCATTCCCCTACAGTTTAGCACGAATATTTCATACATTGGAGTTAGTGAGTCATCCAGTTTGATATTTCTGTATGGAGAGGCTTATCATGACTATAGAGTGCTGTTGCTATTCCTAAGTAAAAATGGCAGCACAAGTAATAGTGTTTGTTTAGTCCTTACTCTGACACCTGTCACTGTGCTAGGATGTGTTTTACGTTCACCATCTTGATCTTCTAGAACCCTTTGAGTTAGTCCTGTTATGCTATTATTACACAGTAACAGACCAAAAGACAATCCAGGATATAGATCCATCCTTCCCGTGTAAATATGTTCTGAAATTCAGGTGTTCCCAGGTGCAGAGTCACAGACAAAGTAATAGAGCAGCTCAAACAAACCTGCTTCAGAAGTTCTCATATAGGAGTGGATTGTCCAGAAGTTGGAGTGCATTTTCCCAAGGAAATGCTATTAATATAACAAAAGCATCTTTCTGGTAGTGTGCCTGAGGGAGTAACAATAGACCTGAACCATCTTGTACACCAGTGTTGCCAGGGAAAATTCACTCAAGAACTTCCCTTCATATTGCTATGGACACATTACTCCACCAAAGGGGGGATTCTCCTGTTTGAAGCAATAGAATAAAGCCAGACACATTGGCTCACCCCTGTAGTCCCAGATCCTTCAGGAGGCTGAGATAGAGGATCCCAAGTTCAAGGCCAGCCTGGGCAGCTTAGTGAGACCCTATTTCAAAAAGAAGGAGGCGGGTGCAGGGGAGGTAGCTCAGGGTAAAGCACCCCTGGGTCCAATCCCCAGAATAAGAAAGAAACAATAGAATCATTAGATTCAACTTGCAACTCAGCACTTCTCAGGGCTTGGGGGGAGTTGATGGGAGGAAAGAGGATGGCAACCTGGGCCCAGGGCCTAGGGCCAGGAGATCTTAGGTGAGATGAAGCCTGYGAGGATGAGGGCTAGGTTGGAGTTGCAGAGAGGAGGAGAGGGCTAGAGAGTTTGGGGACCCTGGAATCACCTCTCCTCAGGCAGCTGCCTATTCACCATGGAGCCAAGGAGTATGCCTTCCTGCTTTTCTTTTCCTGCTAACATGCAGGGCTTTCCCCCAAAGCACAGCAGCCCTGAGGGACTTGAACTTCCACATGGGAAGGAGCCCATCCTAGGCCCTCAGGACTTTCCCTTTTTCTCTGGGACCTGGAAGTAAATGTCGGTCAGCAGGTACTTTGGRCTCATGGGCCCATATGGGGCTGAAACAAAACGCGTAAGCATTTCAGATGTCGCTGTCCTGGGGGAGGCTTGTGGGAGAAGGCAGAAGCCCTCTGCTCCTTTCTCTTCTCCCTCCACAGTTTCTCTGTCCTCAAAGGGAGAGTGTGGGGGTGGGGCGCGCCTGGGCCCCAGATTGCAGCTGGCCCAGGGAAGGGAAGGCCGCAAGCCAGCATGATCCTCATTTCCAATGGGCCTCGAGGGGCGCTCTCTTTCAGGGGTGTAGGGACCACTGGGAACTCTGCCTCTCTCCATCGCCCCACTCTTGCCTCTTCTCACCTATTCACTGGTGCACCGCCCCCTGCCCCCCGCCCCCCAGCTTTGCTGGAGATGGGAATCATCTGTGGTGCTGTAAAAAGCCAAGTTCTCAGACCCACTCCCAGACCCACTAGTCAGTGTCTCCACAGGAAGAGCCCRGAAGCAAGTAACTCAGGTGATTTCTGTTGAGGAAGTTTTGGCAAAAGCTGCCTGCCTATCCCCACCCACACACGCACACCTGCGGYTGGTTCCGGGACATTCTAGGCCCTTGGTGGCTCAGAATCCTGGTGTAGTTTCATGAGAAGCTCTGCCCTACCCCCGGCTCTGGGCTGGTGCCTTCTCGTAATATCTCGACTCTACTGAAGAATGATTTCCTCAGAAAGGCCACCCTTGTCCCCTCACTAGCCAAATCACACTCCTGGTTCATCCTCTCCCACCACTCGTGCGTTTTCTCCTTAGCATTTGTCTCATGGTCTGTGTCCAGGGAATACTGGGTATTTTKTATGTGAATGAATGAGTGGAAAATGATGTTGGAAGAGGAAGGATTAGGTTGAGTGTTGCTTTAACAAAAACAAAAACAGAGAGCTGGGCTCTGTGATCCCAGTAGCTTGGGAGACTGAGACAGGAGGATCATTGAGTTAAAAGCCAGTCTCAGCAAATTAGCGAGGCTCTAACAACTCAGCAAGACTCTATCTCTAAAATGCAAATCAAAACYACCCTAAGATACCATCTCACTCCAGTAAGATTGGCAGCCATTATGAAGTCAAACAACAACAAGTGCTGGCGAGGATGTGGGGAAAAGGGTACTCTTTCTTGTAGATTGCTGGTGGGACTGCAAACTAGTGCGGCCAATTTGGAAAGCAGTTTGGAGATTCCTGGGAAAGCTGGGAATGGATCCACCATTTGACCCAGCCATTGCCCTTCTCGGACTATTCCCTGAAGACCTTAAAAGAGCTTACTACAGGGATACTGCCACATCGATGTTCATAGCGGCACAATTCACAATTGCTAGACTGTGGAACCAACCCAGATGCCCTTCAATAGATGAATGGATTAAAAAAATGTGGCATTTATACACCATGGAATATTACGCAGCACTAAAAAATGWCAAAATCATGGATTTTGCAGGGAAATGGATGGCACTAGAGCAGATTATGCTTAGTGAAGCTAGCCAATCCCTAAAAAACAAATACCAAATGTCTTCTTTGATACAATGAGAACAACCAAGAACAGAGCAGGGAGGAAGAGCAGGAAGATAAGATCAGCATTAAACAGATACACTAGGTGGGAGGGAAAGGGAGAGAAAAGGGAAATTGCATGGAAATGGAGGGAGACCCTCGTTGTTATATAAAATCACACATAAGAGGTTGCCAGGGGAACATGTAAATAAACAAGGAGAGAAATGAAATACAGTAGATGGGGTAGAGAGAGAAGATGGGAAGGGAGGGGAGGGAGGATAGTAGAGGATAGGAAAGATAGCAGAATACAACAGTTACTAATAGGGCATTATGTAAAAATGTGGTTGTGTAACAGATGAGATTCTGCAATCTGTATTTGGGGTAAAAATGGGAGTTCATAACCAACTTGAATCTAATGTATGAAACATATGTCAAGAGCTTTGTAATGTTTTGAACAACCAATTAAAAAAAAAGGAAAAAAAAGACTCTATCTCTAAATTAAAAAAAAAAAAAATATATATATATATATATTATAAAGGTCTGGGCATATTACAGGGACCCAGCCACATCAATGTTTATAGCAGCACAATTCACAATAGCTAAATTGTAGAACCAACCTAGATGCCCTTCAGTAGATGAATGGATAGGGAAACCTTGATATATATACACAATGGAACATTACTCAGCATTAAAAGAGAATAAAATCATGGCATTTGCAGATAAATGGATGGAGTTGGAGAAGATAATGCTAAATGAAGTAAACCAATTCTCCAAAAAAAAAAAAAAAAAAAAAACAAAGCTAAATGTTTTCTCTGATATTGGATGCTGATCCATCATGGGGGTAGGGAGGAAGCATGGGAGGAATGGAGGAACTTTAGATAGGGCAAAGGGGAGGGAGGGGAAGGAAGGGAGTATAGGGGGAGGAAAGATGGTGGAATGGGATGGACATCATTACCCTAGGTACATGTATGAAGACACGAATGATGTGACTGTACTTTGTGAACAACCAGAGATGTGAAAAATTGTGCTCTATATGTACATTATGGATTGAAGTGCATTCTGCTGTCCTGTATAAAAAGTTAGAGTAAATAAATAAATTTTGTGAAAAGGGGGGTACTGGGGATGTGGCTCAGTGGTTGAGTGTCCCTGGGTTCAATCCCCAGTGCCAAAAAAACAACTACAAAAAAAAATGAGTGTTTTTTTATTAATCTCCCAAGTAAAACTTGAACATATCAACTAAAAAATCAAGGCAGATGGGCCCACCAAATAAATGTATTTATGAGCACAGTGGGTCAAATTCCTTCCAAAAACATGTATCTGATATGGCATAAAATGCCGCATTACAGACCTGCAGATGCAGAAGTGCTAATACGATCCGTGTCTTTTATGGCGCTCACATTCTGGCATTGATGACAGATATGAGCCATGCTGTACATGATTTCACAATTATAATTCTGATAACTGCAGTGAAAGAGTTCCAGAGACCTGTAAGAGCCTCGAGGAGATTGGCCATGGTTGTAGGGTATTTCTGAGACATGTAACTGAAGGCCCTCGGCACAGAGAACCAGTGACGCTCTGTCCAGCTTCCTGTCAGAGTTGGTGTGAGCAGAGGTGCTGTGTGATGGTTTGTCATCCTCAGCACAGCTGACATTTTGGACCAGGTAATTTTTTGCTTGGGTGCTTTCCTGTGTCCTGCAAGATGCTTGGTAGCATTCCTGGCCTCTTCTCGCTAGCTGCTGGGAGGGAGGACCACAGATGTCTTGACAGTGCCACACGACCATGGTGGGTGCAATGACGGTGAGTTCCACCGCTCCGCATGAAATACAGTGTCTGTAAAACGTGTCGTCTTTTGATTTACCTAAGTCAACACCAGGAACTTAATGTTTTCACTCACCAAACAACCATTTATCAAGTAGCTCTCATGTGGCAGACCCTGGAGACGCAGCAGTGACCCACACTTGTGCTTTCTTAAAGCTACATTCCAACGGGGAGAAATGGACACTAAAGCTTGACTTGTGTAACGTTCAGGAAAAGGGTATCCCTGGGTCACAGACGTCCTCTCTGATCAGATGACATTTGAACTCAGTCTTGAAAGAAGCCCAGGAATGAACTGCTTGAGAGGAAACACCACGAGCAAGAGGCAGAGCCCTGAGTTGGCTGGACTTGGCCTCGCCTTCCCGTCCGCAGGTCTGACCCAGCTCCTTTGTGTTTCAGAGGGGCCTCCGCAGAAGGGCAGCTGAACGGACTCCAGAGCAGCCTTAACTCTGCAGCCTTTATGCCCATCACCAGCTCCACAGGTCAGTGACCAGCAGGCCTTCAGTAGGTGGGGTGGCAGGAAGGTGGCAGGAAGGTGGCAGCTTGGCATCTTCTCTCTTTTGCTTCTGACCGGAGCTGCAGTTTCAAATAACCAAATGCCCAGACTCTGCGAGCACTGGGACGAGCATTTTTGTTACGTCCTCCTTTTAAATAATGCAACAGCCTAGATAGACATTTTTTGCCTGTCTGGTAGAATGCTATCAGATTTGCAGCATTTAGCAAAAACGCCCTGTATTTGACTGTTAATATTTCCACATGTATCTCTCACTTAATCCTCACAACAGTCCATGAGGTGGACCTTCTTGTCCCCTGACCACGGGAAACCTGAGGCTCAGAGAGTTTGTGGACTTGAGGGAGGTTACGCGTGGATCCAGAGCCTAGGTGTAAGCTAAGCAGTGGAGGCCCAGGGTTAGTGTTGTATGAACAATAATTCATAAAAAACACACTAAATAATCAGAAAATTGAATGAAATCACTTTGATTCAATTTGATGACTATTGATTATTGAGCTCCTACTATGGAGAAGGTAACTTGCTGGGCCCTGAGGTACTCACAGGGTGTAGGGTACAGTGTCCACTCTGGGAACCACAGACTCAGAGAGATGGAAACGTCCTCAGGGAGTGTGCTGCAGGTAACCTCCTGGGTCTTTATGGGTACTAGGGACATCTGGAATRACAGACAACTTTGAGCGTTTGCCGTGTGTCCAGCTCAGCTGGGAATGCTTTACAGGTCTTACGTCATTTGTTCACTGAACAGGGATGTGATGTAGGAACTGTATTCCCCATTTTATGACCAAAGAAACAAAGGGACGGAATATGTCTAGAGGGATGAAATATGTCTAAAGTTACACTAATAACTTTAGTGGCTGGGCAGTATTGGGACCCACATCTTTTGGGAGACTTGAATGTGGACAACTCAGCCAGGAGAGGAATGGAGATCCAAGAAGAGGCGGAAGTGTGTGCAGAGGCCCAGGGTTCCCTCCCGTCAGCRTGGCTAGGGACGCAGGCATGAGTTGGCGGTGGCAAGAGAAGGCTATGAAGTGGCAGAGTCCGTTAGGAGCCAAGTACAGAGCCGTTGCCCTGGCAGCGATGAGGAGCCCTGGAGGAGTTCAGGGAGGGGCTGGGGAGTGTGAGTGAGGGGTTGACATAACCTTAAAGTGACCACAACATCTCTGAGAAGCTCGGCTGCTTGGCTGTATCATAGGGATAATTAAATAACCCTCCTAGGCTTATTGTGAGGATTAAATGAAGTGCTATACATGGAAGGCCCTATACCTACACCCAGGTCAGGTAATATTAATATGATGATAAGAGTATAAGGATTTGTTCTCCCTTTAAAATTTTAAACCTGAATATAAGAAATATTTGATAGGTATGTACTCATGACCCTCCCCAAAGAATTGCTAGAACATGGTAGTGGGTTTTTGTTGTTATTTGTTGGTTGATTGGTTTTTGTGGTGCTGGGGTGGAGCCCAGGCCTCGTGTCTGCTAGGCAAGCGCTCTACCCCTCAGTTACATCTCCAGCCTTTAGAACGCGGCACTCATTTTTAAGGAAGTAAAATTTCCACCAGGAATTGAAACGGAAGAAAAGTGCTGGCTATGAGAATCATGGGCGAGTTTGAAGGTGTTCCTGAGACAAAGGCTCTAAGAGCCCCTTCCACTCTCCAAATTTGCTTAAACTAGAGAAGTTGACTGTGCTTGGCAGCTCCAGGAGACCCGGAGGACTTGATGTGTACGCCGTTTAGTTGACAAGAATTGAGCTGAACCACTGCGTGCCCTCTGGCCCAGGAAGTTAGAAATGTGAGAGGTCATGTGAGTCAGGCTTGCAGCATCTTGACCATAAATTAGGTCTACTTAACCTTGGTGACCTTACCTAGTAGGTTTTGGCCTAGTCTACTGAATTTGGTATTAGCGTAAAACCGTGGAGCAAAGAGAAGTCATACTTCTCCCTGGCCTCTAAGATTGACCTTTGCCCCTATCCACCTGACAGTAACAAGCAGATTATTATTCTTACCTTGTTTAGGATGCCAGTTACTGATTGCTTTTGTCAGCTGATGACTCTGGGCCTCTAAATGCCCTTGGATTTGTTCTCTTCTTTGACTTCCCTGGTGTTCTTGACCAAGAAGTGTTAAAAGAAGCACTAATGATCATGACACAGTGAGGGTCAGGTGTTTCCCATACCTCCCACGGCATCTAGCCTTCACAGTGTCAGTGACTAACTCTGGTGTGGTCATTCATACCATTAGCAAGTAACCGGCACATCATTGTCCAGTTGCAGATCCTGTGTCTTCTGGTTTGGTTAGATTTCACCAACTATTCTAGAGGTTCCAAAGGTGGCCTATGAGAAGTCTAGGTTACCAGTAGCTACATTTTTTTTTAAACTTAGAAGAAGGGAGAACAGCCCCCATGAGAAGACAGGAAGGGACTTTGGAAGTCTGTACCTGTACAGGAATCCCTGAACTGTCTTCAAAAGATAGTTAGCCCCAGTCTCATCCAGTAGACTCAGTTGGTTAAGCATGGTGCTAACAAGCCCATGGCTATAGCAGGTTTTGTTTCCTGGYGCTTGACCCTTCCCCTCCATATGGCTAGCCAGGCTTGATGTGTGACTGGTTCCTCAGGCTATCTGAATAAGGCAGTAGCTCATCCCAGGCACTATTGAAAAACAACTCCCAACTGACGTGGGCTCTTTACGTTCTGTTTATTGCAAACATTAAATGAGGTAGTGAATGTGGATGCGCCCAGCAGAGTGCCTGGAATACTCCATGCAGGTTACTTTTCCTTGACTTCCTTACCTTCCGCTAAATATTCTAATTTTGCTGTGGAAGGGAAGGGGTAAAGTCAGCAAATTTAGAAATTTGAGAAGGAAGCTGGAGTGAGGGCTCTTGGCCCAAAGCCAAGTCCTTGGCTTTCCTTCTTTATAACCATGGCATTCTTCTGGAGTTCTGAAGTGCTAATAGTGAACAAAAATAGAAGACAGCCACAGATTAGATAACTGACATTTCTCTCATGCTGATTTGGTAATGTCAGCCACCATTATTGTAGGATCCGAAGCCAGACCAGCTGCCCTCATCCCTGCCCCTTAGCTTCTGCCTGCGGAGGTCCCTCCCATCCTGGACTGTGCCCCCACCTCTTATTTTTAAGCTCTTATTGGTCAGTATTTTGTGCAAGGAACCTAATAGGCTCTTGAAAATCAGTGATGGATTTCATTGACGAGAAGTAAGAAGCAGCGTCCTGTTAAATGTTCATTGTTTCGAGCCCTAAATGTGCCATAGCTTCGTGCTCTTTGTATGGACGAAGGGCAGCGGCACCTAGCGAGCCTGCCTGCCCACTTCCCCGTTGTCCCCTGAGGCAACAAGAGAAAGGAACTTACTTTAATATACAATATAAAGCAAAGCCAGCAAAGCTTAAGCCTGAAGGATCTAAAAGTTACTTTAACTTTCAAGTGAAATTATGTGCCCGGCAGCTCTCATTAGAATGACATATTTTTATTATCAGATTCTTACTCTTTTCACTATATATTATATAGTTGGTGGAGCAGCTAGTGGATCTGAGTATAAGAAGTTAAAATTTAAAAAAAATTTTTAAAAAACCCTGCAATGACAAGCCTACATCCTGTGCCTTTTATTGCTCCCTAGATGTTCCTCTCTCCCCAGGGCCAGGGCCCAGGAATTTGGGTCGATGACCCACTCGTGCTGTTAGAAAGCAAAAGAGAGACCACAGCTCTGGTGTTTGGCAGGAAGTGGGGTGGCAGCATCTGTGAGAATGATGATCCCCATAACCTACTTTTAGATTTTACTTCTTGTCCTTTGGGCCAAGATCAAATATACTGTTAAGTAGGGATTTTTTTTTTCCATTTTTTCAGGATCTTTGGAAGCTCCCCAAGTTATTTTCGCCAGATCCAAACCCTTGCCCACACAATCTGGAGCCCTTGCTACAGGTATAGGACAGAGAAAAACAAAGTCGGTGAAGTCAGGGCCAATTTAAGGTAATAGTAAGAATAACAGCGTATTTTAATCATTATCACGTTCTGACTTTATGGAAGAGACTCAGCAGCTGTCAAAAGAAGTGTTAGCTTCTCAAAGTGACAGTGACGAAGATGGTGATGTAGCTCACTGGTAGAGCATGCGCTTAGTACGTATGATGCCCTGGGTTCCATCCCCCGCACCTCCAAAAGAAGAAAAATGACAGTGAAGTTGGGACTTAATAAAACCAAAGCTCAGAACTCTCCAAAACCATAGGTCAAAGTTTAGATACAAATAGCTTGCTCCTATAATGATGTACCAGTAGGTGGCGCACTGGCAGTAAGAAATTTCTCTACTATCACTAGAGATTTTTTTTTTTTTAACATGGGGTCTTTGAGTTAAAGAAAGAAACTAAAGCCATACTCTAGTTATCACAGGTAAAATGATGTAACTGAATACATTGGGAAACATGATCTTTTGAAGGTCAAGTTGCAATCGTCTCGATAGAGAATGGATATTTATTAAAGAAGGCTTTGAGACTAAAGTTAGGTAGTTTGTGAACTGGACTTTCAGATAATGGGAGATAGGAGAGAACAAAAAATTTTCTTTAACATCTTGGTGAGGTTGATAAATTATGCTTTTTGCTGAGTTATTTTAAATAACATATGCTATAATTGGCAGCAAAACAAACTGTAAGCCCCATCCTACACCCATCCAAAAAAAACTCATACATCGAAGAAGTTGTCAAACTTGATCTTGTGAAGCTGTATCCACACTTCACTAATGCTGCCCTCAGTATTTTCTTTCCAGCTGTGGGCTTCAAAACTTTCTAGAAAATTCTATGAAAACTCAAGGCTCTGATGATTCCTCTGCTCTTTGCACTCCCCTACACACAAAATATTAATGGCACACATGCTTTGAGCTTAATATTCTCCTTACCTCTTGGGGAATATTTATATACTTATTTGAGAAGCATTATTCATTAAAATACCCCAGGAGAGCAAAGGAAAGAGGAAAATTA